TGGTGTACTCATGCTATGCTTCTGCACATCTTTTTGTGCAGATTCAGGTACCTCATACCGGCCTAGGCTCCAGTGAGTCGAGCTTGGATCGGAGACTTCAAGGTATACCTGCCGGCATCCGCAGGCCTCAGAGTCACCATCTACCTAGTTCTATTTCATTTCCCCATTTTATAGATATTGTTGTTTAGGGATGTTCAGTATACTTTTGTAGAGCTTGTGACTTGGTATCACCTGATAAGACAGGAAACTACAGGATATAAAGAAATGAGATGGACATGAGAATAGATTTTATTATCCTATATATGATTTTCTTGGGAATGAGTAACTAATTATTTGTAGAAGCTAATATCATCTATGCTCACAATACAGATTCACGGTCTAGTTTCTTCCTTGGAAAACCCCTCCTGTAGTTCAAAGGGAGGAAAACCAAAGATTGAAGAAGAAACCAAAACAAACAACGTGGTTGCCCCCCTGATTTTGTAGATGGACCATAGATTTCTATATTCACGAATTAGCAGAACATAAATTACACGAAACAAAAAAAAATTAGCATTTGATCTTAGTGTTATTTGGTGTTGGTTAGCCGGTCATTGAAGGAGCTACAAAGCTCTCTCTCTTGAGGAGACATGAGATGATGAGATACAGAGGGAGGGAGGGAGGGAGGTGCATAGTACGTGTTCAGTTGTTCACCCTCACAATAGACGACTGGACAAAGCAATAGGATCCCCAGTGAATCATCAAGGCAATTATTTAGATATAGAATTTTTTGCTTATAATTCTTCAAAGAGTTCTAAGATGAGGATTAAACGAAGCAGCATGATCAATGAGGATTCATATACAACTTGCTTGGGATTGAGGCATAGTTGTGTGTATTCTTTCAATGAGTTAGTAATGGGTCACTAAATTGTCAGTGACGGTGAGAGTTTCTTCTGAGATGTGCAATAAATAAGAGGAAAGGCAGATGGATTGTATCATTAAATTTCTCTTTAATTATGAGGATATTTTTTGCAAAACACAAGCTCATTCCCATGATGTTGTTAATAGAGCTCTCACAAAAGATGCCTCAAATATTGAGCAAGCAGAAGCAATATCAAAACATAATACATATAGTTGTCTAGTTGTATAAAATATAGTTGGTTATGGGTCTTTTGTCCTTTAGTTCGTATTTTTGTACAGAATTGGTTATGGGCTTATGGGTCTTTGTCTCTTTGTCTTTCCCCTTTGTTTGTATAAGTAGAAGTACATATACCATGTAGAAACACACGTTCAGAGAGGAAGGTGAAAAAATTCCTTTTGCTTTCATGGTATCAAGAGCAGGTGCTCTAATTTAGAGATCTTATTTCTCTATCCTTTGTTTTTTTTTCTCCTTCATCTTTCTGTTCTATAATTTTCTTGTTATGGTTGTTGCTTCAGAACCTGGTATTTCATCTGGAGAAGTCACACCCGGGACTATCCTTGATGTTGTTGTTGGGAATACCACAGTAGTAGCTTTAAATTTGGTAGATGGAACTCATCCATATTTTCTCAACTCTTCTGATTCTCCTGGAATGAACCTTATTAATGTCAGTTTCGATGAAACTAGTTATGAAAATTGGAGAAGGGGGGTATTAATCTCTCTTTCTGCTAAAAACAAACTAGAATTCATCAATGGTTCATGTCAAAAACCAGTTGAGAACTCACCTCTTTTTGCACAATGGAGGAGATGCAATGACATGGTCATTGCTTGGCTGTTAAACTCCTTAAGCAAGAATATAGCAAAAAGTATCATTTACTCTCAAACAGCTGGAGAACTTTGGGCTGAGCTAGAACAAAGATATGGCCAAGCTGATGGTGCAAAGTTATTCCAACTGCAAAGAGAACTTAACAACATTTTGCAAGGAACAAATGATGTTGCAGCATACTTTACCAAGCTCAAAAGAATCTGGGATATTCTGAAAGTTCTTAATACCTTCATGGCTTGTGGGTGTGAGTGCAACTGTGGAGCAAAAACTCACAATCACAAAATGAATGAAGATCAAAAGCTAATCCAGTTCTTGATGGGGCTCAATGAGGGATATTCTGGAGTAAGGGGAAACATCCTCATGATGAATCCCCTTCCTTCCACAGCACAAGCTTATTCAATCATTTTACATGAAGAGTCTCAAAGGGAGGTACATTCTGGTCCCCATGTGTCGGTTGAGCCCAGTGCTTTCAATGTTAATGCACAAAAACCTAATAGCGAGTACAGGGGTGGAAATTATAACAGTAACACTGAAGCAAGGAAAAATAACTTCTGGTCTTACTGTAAGAAACAGGGACACCAGAAAGAGAAATGTTATAAACTCGTTGGGTACCCACCGTCTTTCAAGTTCACTAAGCCAAAGAGAAATTTTGGAAATATTCAGGCTAATACAGCAGTGATTGAGGAAGGTGAAACATCAGGAGGAGGAGCAGTTATCACTCGAGGAGTTGCACCTAGCCTAATGATTCCACAGGGGTTCACAAATGAATAATGTGAGCAGTTGATTCAGATGATACAATCTGTGCAGGCTGGAAACATAAGTACTTCAGGTTCTGATGCTAATGCAAGTGCCAACTTTGTGGGTAAATGTACTGCTTTTCACACCTTTATTTCCTGTATTACAACTATCACATCCAAGTTTTGGATAATTGATTCAGGAGCCTCACAACATATGACTCATGATAAAACACTTCTAAACAATTTCAAACAACTCCCTTTCCCTATTCAAGTTACACTACCAAATTCTTATAAAGTCAAAGTCTACAGTTTAGGGAGTGTATTAATTTCACCTGAACTTGAGTTGCATAATATTCTTTATATTCCTTCTTTCAACCATAATCTTTTGTCTGTTAACTAATTGTGTAAGCAGCTAAATTCTAATGTTTTGTTTACTAAATCTGAATGTCTTGTACAGACCCCTTCTCTGAAGAGGCAAATGGTACTTGGTGAAGCTTTTGGTGGTCTCTATGTGCTGGAAGTTGATTCAACTAAGTCTAGAGTGTCCAATAAGCCTTTCTTTCCTTTCCCTAAAAATCATGTAAAGACTTGTAGTGCAGCCAACTCAAAGTCTTTTGTTTAATCATGTAGTTCTGTCCCAAAGTTTATTCAAACATCTGTAAGAGGAATTTTTCCATCTAATAAAAGTTTGAAAATGAATAAAACTGCAGTTTCTGATTCTATGAATTCCAACAGAATTTGGCATTTAAGATTGGGGCACTTACCTTATCATGCAATGAAGAATATAAAGAATATATCTCTTTCATCAACAGATAAACAGGTTTTTCCATGTGACATATGCCCAATGGCAAGACAGTCCAAATTGCCTTTTCCAACAAGCTCTATTAGCTCTAAACAGTGCTTTGAATTACTACACATAGATACATGAGGTCCTTACAATGTTCCCACTTACAAGGGGGAAAGATATTTTCTTACTATTGTGGATGATCTTTTCAAAGGCAACTTGGGCCTATCTTTTGTCTACAAAGTCTAATGCCTTCCCTACCCTTAAATCCTTTTTAGCTCTTATAGAAAGACAGTTTCAGCCAAGGTTAAGATCATAAGATCAGATAATGCATATGAGTTAGGGACAGGAATAACTCCTTCAGATTTCTTTACTTACAAAGGGATAGTTCATCACACATCATGCATTGGAACCCCACAACAAAATGGAGTAGTTAAAAGAAAACACAAACACTTATTAGAGACATGTAGAGCTTTATTATTCCAGTCTCATTTACCAAAGAAATATTGGGGTGATTGTTTGCTAACAGGAACTTACTTGATTAATAGATTCCCTTCAAGAGTTCTAAATAATAAATCACCCTATCAAGTTTTGTTTGGCAAATTGTCAGATTACTCTCATTTGAAGCCTTTCGGTTGTTTATGCTTTGTCTCTACTCTTTCTAGAAATAGAGATAAACTACAACCTAGAGCAATCCTTGGAGTCTTCTTAGGTTACCCTTTTGGAAAGAAAGGATATAGAATTTTGAACATTCAATTGAATCACGTATTTGTTTCTAGGGATATCAAATTCTTTGAGTCTATATTCCCTTTTTCTTATTCCACTCCAATGTCAAAATTGTTTCCAGCCAGTTTTCCTATCTCTGATGAGGGAACGCATATTTTTTCTTCACAAGAGGAATCTAATTCACCTAATATAACTACACCAGGTGTTATTTCTTTATCATATTCTAGTCCTAGAGGCAAAAATTGCCCCATTGTTACTTTGTCTACATCTAGAGTTGAATCAGCTCCAGCAGATAGGCTACGCAGATCTTCTAGAGAGCATAATGCACCTAAATATTTATCAAACTACATATACGATGATGCTTATTCAGCAATTTCACCAAACCCACCTTTTACCCCATTTCACTCTTACTCTTTTTCTGCACTTTCTCAACCAAATCAACAGTTTATTAACTGTATATGCCAAATTTCTGAGCCAAATTCTTACCAAAAAGCAGCCATTCATCCCGGTTGGCAAGCAGCTATGGCAAAAGAACTTGAGGCATTAGAATCCAATAGCACTTGGAAAGTAGTTCAAATACCTTTTGGAAGGAAAGCATTGCCCTGCAAATGGGTGTACAAAGTGAAAGTCAAATCTGATAAAAGTTTGGAAAGACTCAAAGCAAGGCTAGTAGTACGAGGAGATATACAACGAGAGGGAATAGACTACACAGAGACCTTTTCAGCAATGGTAAAAATGACAACTATCAGATGTTTGTTAACTGTTGCAGTGAAGAGGGGATGGAACTTATACCAGTTAGATGTTAATAACGTCTTCTTACATGGCGACTTGGACGAGTAAGTGTTTATGAAGTTTCCAATAGGAATTGCACCTCCAAGCTCTTCCCATGTCTGTCGTCTTCGCAAGTCCCTCTATGGTTTGAAATAGGCATCGCGCCAATGGTATGCTCGACTATCCTCTGCTTTAGGATTCAGAGGTTTCACCTCATCGGTCAACGACTACTCCTTGTTCTTCAAAACATCTGGGACTCTAATGACTATATTAGCCGCATATGTTGATGACATTCTCCTAACAGGAAACAATCAAGAAGAAATCAGTGAGATAAAATCATTCCTTGATTCTGAATTTCGAATTAAGGACCTAGGAGAATCAAGTTATTTTCTAGGTATGGAACTTTTACACGAGCCCGGAGGTATCATTTTGACTCGGAGAAAATTTGCAATTGACCTCATTTCTGAGTTTGATTCTCTACAATCGAGAGATGTTTGCACTCCGCTTGATTCACACATTAAGCTTACTGCTGATTCTGGTGAGCTTTTGCTTGATCCTACCATTTATCGGAGGCTCTTGGGGAAGCTAAATTTCCTCACAAATACCCAACCAGATCTATCCTTTACTATACAGACCTTGAGCCAATACATGCAATCTCCAAGATCTGGACACTATCAGGCAGCTTTACATACTCTTCAATATGTTCGAAATGATCCAAGTTTGGGACTTTTCTTCTCATCCGAGCCTTCATTTCAGATTTTGGGTTATTGTGACGCAGATTGGGCATCTTGCTCGGACACTCGAAGATTAGTTAGTGGTTTCTTCTTAAGCATAGGTGGATGCCCCATCTCTTGGAAATCGAAGAAACAACAAGTGATTTCTTTGTCTTCGGCAGAAGCTGAATATCGATCTATCCAACGTTTGGTAGCAGAACTTTCATGGATTGTTCGTCTTCTTGCTGACATATCCATTTCCCCTTCGCTTCCGGTCTCTGTCCATTGTGACAATCAAGTTGCGATTCACATAGCGAAAAACTCAGTTTTTCACGAACGAACAAAGCACATCAAAAGTGATTGCCACTTCGTCCGCGAAAAACTGCTCGATGGTCTAATTTCTTTGTCTTTCGTTCCAACTACAGCCCAAATCGCCGATATCTTCACAAAAGGTTTGGCAGGACCTCTTCATCGGAGTTTTTTGGGCAAGTTGGGAGTCCGATCTACGGGCTCCCACTTGAAGGGGGGTGTTAACAGAACTCTCACAAAAGATGCCTCAAAATATTAAGCAAGCAGAAGAATATCAAGACATAGTACATATAGTTGTCTAGTTATATAAAATATAGTTGGTTATGGGTCTTTTGTCCTTTAGTTCTTATTTTTGTACAAAATTGGTTATGGGCTTATGGGTCTTTGTCTCTTTGTCTTTCCCCTTTGTTTGTATAAGTAGAAGTACATATACCATGTAGAAACACACGTTCAGAGAGGAAGGTGAAAAGATTTCTTTTGCTTTCAGATGTTGGCATCAAGTACATGCAGAGAATAGAGATACGAATTTCGTTAACAAGTTTGAGATTACACTGAAAAAATGTATCCATCAAGCATCTGGCCCTTAGGGAATAGACAAGATGATTCCTTCAAACCATCTCTACTTTTCTCCACAATTTTTAGAAAATGCGTATGTAATAAGATTATGCTGACCTCTTTCAGAAAAACAAAGATCCTGCATGAAGGTTACCAAGGAAGAGGAAAACCTGCTGAAATCCTGTAATTTTTCTGTTACTCCATCCATCCATTGCAAAAAGAATGGTCAGATTTGAAGTATAAGAGTCAAACCATTAGATTTTTTGGCATCAATTGGAACATTGATTCCGTTCAAAAAAATAAAATGTACGATTTACAAACTACATATAGTTATTATGTAACAACTTTTCATAATTGAAAATAGTCAGAAAAAGCTGTTTGATTCCCCAATAGTAATAGTGTCGTATAAAATGGAACAAAGGAATAGTAGTCTATATTTCAAAGTTAGGTTGCCTTTAACAATCTAACAAAAGATTTAAAAGCCATTATTAGAGAACCTCAGTTTCTTTCACATTCTCATCATTTCATGCTTTCACCATTCTAAAACAGCATGTCCAAGCTTAGAAATAGTAAGTGCTTTTGAGAGTCAAATACGAAAAAAAGACAAGTAAAGATTGAATTAGTACTATTTAAATAGATAATGATTTCAAAAACAAAAAGAATAGAAAGAGGGGAGACGAACCTTTCGTGCTTGTTCAAGTGCTGAAGGTTACAGCAACGCTCATAAATCAGCCATACAATTACAAGATAATATGCACAAATAAGTAGCATAGTCAAGGCACAGACCTGCTTTCTTAGGCCCAGCTGTAAGTTTCATCTCCATTGAAAGGTTTGCCAGTTCCCTTTCAACATCACGGATCTTGGAGTAATTTTCATCAATATATCTGACAGGATACACAGAGAAGAGCAAAATCATTATGCAAAACTTAGGGAGCATATCTGATGTAAAAAGAACTTAAATGCTGGTGATAACGTGATTACAAGGCACTTCCATTAATTTCATAAAATCTCAGGTCCCTATTCAGACATTCTGCTCTAATCATTTACTGTTGCCAATGTATTCACTTGATAGAAGGAACTAAGATCCTGGAGAACTGGACTAAAAACTGGCAAAACATTCAGAATCAGTAAAACAAGGATTTCCGAGGATAAAAGGGTTTTCCAGTGCATGGAAACAACTTTTACCTTTTTAATTTTCCAGATCTCTCCTTTCTATCAGGGATGCTCTCATTTGGAGAATGAAGGAAAAGCTCTTTCACGAATTCCAATATGTCGAAAACATATGTACTAATTCTTAATGCTCCTAAACTAGAATTCCTTATGAGAAAAAGGTTTTGGATTATTTGGTTTGTCCATAAGTTTATCAGCCATAAATGAGAGCTTTACATACTAACCAGGTTTGTCCATAAGTTTATCAGTCATAAATGAGCTTTACATACTAACCAGGACCAATATGATTTATCAATTTGTTTATATACTTAGCTTTTCAGATTTTACCACCATATTCACCTCTCGAATCAACATTTAACAGATGTTTTAGTCGTGAATTTGCCCACTGAAGTGTAAGATACATGAGAGTAGAAGTAACAAGTCAACTTACTTTCTTAACTGATGCTGCTCTTCCTCAATTATCTGGAAACAACATTGCAACAATCCAACAATGCGTGTAGTTAGTAGTGTAACTTAAGTATTGAAAGCAAGCACGCATTAAGTGTATAAATTAGAGATGGACCTTCTCGGTGTAAGCGATGGCGGGTGATTCTCTAGCAACGCCATCAGGCCCAATCTCCGGAAGCAGCACAGTTTGGTTGTGGCATTCCGATCTAAATTGGTGTCGGTTGCCATTGATATAACACTCTAAATTCACTAGTATAGGACAGTAGGGAAATTGTCAAAAGTTTTAACGAAGAAGGGATCCTAATTTCTAAAGAGTAAGAGTTTCGCTAAATGTGGGAACTGGTTGGCGAAATTTGCTTTAATTAGCAGCAGGCGGCGTCAGCACGTCGTTGGCATTTGCAGGTAGTATGTTTATTTTGGGGAATGTTGGGCACAAAAGAAAGAAGAGCACATTTGTCAATTTTACGAGTATCAGTTTCTGAAGTTAGCCCCATAAAAAAATGGATGAAAAGCTGCAAATACCAACTAGCTTCACTTTTAATTATTTCCCTCTTCGGCTACCGTTGCAGAAATTTAAAATTAGGAAAACTTTATATGTTTGGTTAAAAGAAGGAGAAAAAATAATCTCCACATAGAAGCTAGCATAAGTTATACAATGTTTGGTTGTTTTTTCCTCTTTTTTCACATGAAATGTAGCATTGCTAATACAATGTTTGGTTCATGTTTTTCTTTTCCGCATAACTAATACATGTATAAGTTATGAGGGAATCTATGTATTATTTATGGAGGGTAGAAGGTGGAATAACTTATACATGTATTAGTAATACTTGTATTAAAACACAAAATGACAAGAATACCCTTTATTCAAACTTGTATTTTTTTTGTTTAAAAATATATATTTAAACTATACTAACAATTTTAATAAAATAAAGTATGCTAATAATAAATAACACTCACATTACATTTATATTATTAATCCTTATATAACTACCGCATAACTAATCCATAACTCAACCTTGCATAACTAATCCATAACTCAACCTTGCATAACTTATCCCTGCATAACTAATACATGCATAAGTAATCCCTTACATAATTAATACCTAACTAATATAGATTCCACATGTATTAAGAGAGATTAAGACAGATTCCCCATTAGTTCTCACGATACAATGAAGTTGCCCTCTCATGAAGTCAGCTTCTAATACAGAGACTTAAAGGAAACAAAAAAAGGCAATTGAAAAGGAAAGAAATGGCATTCTGGTATAGTGGTACGATTATTTTGAATAACAACAAAAGCTATAACCAAAGGTCGTGAAATGCATACACTTTATTTTTCCCTCTACACGCAGTTAATCTCAAAATCCAATACTAAACCTCTATCTTGGCTGTTTAACATCCTAAGTATACCATGATCTGATGGATCCACAACAGGATCGGATATGTACCAGAGACATCACAGCTTGTATTAAGTTCTTTTGGACTAGCAGAAAAGGCTTCCACCATTTCCTTGTATGACGAAAGAAGACGCTGTGCTATTTTATTTTTATTTTTTGCATCTCTTAGATGTCTCTTTAGCTGCAACAACTTTCCAAATTGAGGAAAGAACCAGCAGATACCAGAGACAAGAAGAAAATGAATAGCTCATTATGCAGATAAATCTAAAATAATGCAGATACAACATGATGAGAACAAAAGTTGTTTTTGTCTTCTTAAGCAGTGACCTCGGTGAGAGTTTGTTGAACTGCTTCTTGGGAAGGAAGGGAAGGGATTCCTCCTCTTCCTGTCACTGTCAGGGCAGCACAAGCATTAGCGAAAAAGAGAGCGTCCCTTAGTCGCTTCTCATCCTGCCAAGTATAATAAAAAAGGATTTCCAGAGTTAGGAGTTTGATGTTCACTCAATGAAACAGACATGATGAGATCAAAAAATGGAAATAAACAAGAAAAAGTGCCCACTAAAAGGAGACTAGAATCTTTCATAATGTTGTGATGGGATATAGTTGGAGAAAGACCAATTACACCGATGAAAGCAAAACAATACTGAGAAAGACCAATTAAACCGGTGAAAGCAAAACAATCTTAACTTGCTGGGGTGTACGATCAAACTATCAGGGAACAAATTACCTCATCAATCAAATAACTATACAATCGCGAAAGCAGTGAACTGACAACTTGGTTTTGACAGGGTAACTCGATTTTCAGTACTGCTGGAAGGATTTTGCCCTCTCAGCAAGAGGATNGAAGAAAGTATGATAAGGTGAACAATAGATTGCGGTAAGAAGCATGAACAATGAGAAAACTACTATTGGCTTTTTTGCTCATATCCAAATTCATGCACCTGATAGAGATCAGCATCAGAAGCTAGACACTTGAGAATTCCACCGACAAATGCATCACCCGCACCAGTTGTATCAACAGCTTTTACTTTAATACCATGTACTCTTCCCTTGAATTCCTGCATCAATTGAGTCAGTATCTACAGGCAAATAATGTTTCTAAGAGGACAAAAGCTAAGATATTCATGCATTTAACATCACTAACAGTAACATGCAAGTACAAAAATGCACTGCATAAATAACATAAAATTCTTTTTTATGATAAATATACATAACGTAAATTCTACTTATTGTTTAATACTATTTGGTAAAATTTAATGTGCCTGGGAGGCTGAGACATTTTACATCTTCAGAGAAAATAAAGTTGTAGCTGTATAGTAAAATCTTCAACTCTAAGCATTATATGTTAGTTTTCCTGCAAAATCAAAGAAAATATGTGGATAAAATAGGGAAAATAATACCTTGGTGTAATATCTACAACCAGCCGAACCTTCAGTTACAAGCAAAAGCTTCAGATTAGGATGGAAAAGCCTCTTCAACACCACCTCATCATCATTTGGATCATCAGCTCCAGTCAAGAATGAAATTTCATCCTCACTTATCTGCATGTAAACACAGTTTTTCATTGTTAAAGAGAACTCAGCAGGTGATGCATTTATGGAGAAACATCATACCTTAATAACATCTGCTAGGTTCCACACACTCATTATTCCACTTCGAGCAGCATCTTCTGAAGGCCACAAGGGCAATC